CGTGTAAAGCAATCATCCAGGTACCGCATGAAAACTGCCGGTTGTAGCGGTGTCATCTTGAAATTCTCTTCTATTTTGTTCATGTATACTTTGCCAAAAGTGGTGAGAGCAGCGAACCCATGGGAAGTCTAAATATTTGTTCATAGATGGTCCCGGTGAATGTAAAATAGGTTGTCCTTATTGCCAAGTTGATTAGTCTTGTTAACCACTCCCTCCTGATTTGATGTGATTCCAGGATATCCTCCTCTCGGTCCAGGATTTGCAGCAGGTCCGTTAGCGCATTTTGTCCAGATATATTTGTATACATTGATTCCAGATCAAAACTTACCAATAAGTCTGTGTCTTGCAGTGCCATGTATTCAATTTGTTGAGAAAATTCATATGAATATTTCACCGGGTTTGAAAGCCTCTCATTTAATTTTTTGAGTTTCAAACATATGAACTTTGTCCATACATGTTGTTGACTATCAGCCTTAGTGGCTCGTCTTCTTTGTGTATCTTCGGTAATCAGTAGGCTGTTGGTAGTCGTGCATCATTTCCTATGATTGAATTTTTTGTCCGTGCGTCAATTTCCCCGTCCCTATAAATATCTTTCAGCACGTCACTTAAGATTACATTGATCTTCAAAGTTAAGCCCTTGTTTAGTAACTAACACGGACTAACCCTAACGGCCCTACTGGAAATCCTGAACTGAGAGGAGGATATCCTGGAATCACAACGGATCAGGAGGAAGTCGTTAACAAGACCAATGAACTTGGCAATAAGGGCAATCTATTTTAGATTCACCGGGACCATCTATGAACAAATATTTGGACTTCACATGGGATCACTGCTCTCACCACTTTTGGCAAAGGTATACACGAACAAGATAAAAGAAAAATTTCAACGCTACAGCACCGCTACAACCGGCAGTTCTCACGCGGTACCTGGATGATTGCTTCACACTTTGATTACATGGAAGAGAAAAACTGGAAGAGTTTTTGAAGTTTGTAAACCAAATTGATGGAAAATTCTATTCACGATAAAAGTATAGGAACCTGAGCGGTCAGTGTTCCTGGATGTTGAAGTTATTCGCTCTAATGGGACGCTCAAAAATAAATTGTTCAGAAAAAAGTCTTATGCCTGGATAATACTAAATTCCCGGTCCCATCACAATTACAAGCTAAAGATAGGAATAATGAGGAGCATGATCATCCGAAGCCTACGCTTAACAGATGTTTAATTGTGGGACGAGAAGTTGGACGAATTGACTGGGATATTCCTCGGCTGCCCAAAGGAAGTAATACAAAGAAACATATCTGCCGTAAAAGGCCGATGGCTGACCTGGGACTATGAAAGAACAGTAAGGACGGAGGAGTCAGAAAAGCGGATATGCCTAACTTCCTGTGAACTAACTTAAAAACTAAGGCAAATATTGAGGAAATGGAATATTCGGGTGGTCCTTAATAAAAAACTAAGACCTTTCACAAGTCCACCGACGCAGCATGAAAGGGAAAAACAAATAGGATTGTCCAGGAGTTTACTGTATATCATGTGGCGTCTGTGAACAGAAATAGATTGGCGAAGCAGTAAGAAAAATTAGCCTACGAATCAAGGAACATCAAAGGCTCTGCAGGAAAATGAATACTGTAAGATCAGAATTAGAGGAACTCATCGCACAGACTGGAGACGAGATCATTTGGAACGCAACAGAGAAGGGCCTCATACGATAAAAAACACATGTAAGCGGAAGACTAGGGAGGCCATCGGAATCCTTGTGGATAAAGATCTAATGAAAAAAGGAGATTGGAGGAAGTAGAGTTAGCGATGACTTTGCCTACTGCTTAAGCAGACTCAGTGAAAATAAGAATATAGGAAGATAAACAAAAAAGAGATTTCAGTATCAGGAATCTATCGCTAACCGGGGGAAAAGAGATCGTAGTGATATAAAGGGGACGCGGGAATTTTCGTCATTCAAGAGAAGACGTTGTCAGTATATGATGTCTGTTCGAATAAGCCAGTACAACTTTGGGATGCTGGCATGCAGGGATTCATGCATACGGATAAGCAAACCGTCACAGAAATTTAGCGGCAGCGTACAAACTTCTAGGACCTTGAGAAAAAGCGCCTGGAGTGAAGCGCACACCGGGACTAGAAGCGAGTTAAATCGGTCAACCAAAAAGATAAGGAACAGATCTACGGGACAACGAGGGGGATCCTGATTTGAGGCCCGAGTCGGATTAGCCGATCGAAAGAGAGGGGGTCGGGGTGAATAGCAGGTGTGATGAAGCCACATTAGATTTGCCACAAAAGGGTACACATTTTGACGAGTAGAATGCTCACAAGTGAGAGGTTGTGATAAGGCAGTAGTTTGATAAGATGTTAAAGAGTAGATAGATAGGCCATGACAGAAAAAAGAGCGATAGTGTAACCGTTTGGGGCAGAACGTTTGTCGAGGGATTGACTTCACTTGTCTCTTTGACAAGTTGGTAGCTTCGTGCGAAGAATGACAAAACTCACTGATGATATCGACTATGATGCCGGCAAAATATTTGAGAATGTACCAAGTCCACTGTCTGATGTTGGGAATCATGTAAACTACTATGGCAGA